CTGGGGAATTCTGGGAGTTGAAATCCACTCATCCTAAAGTGGCCAAGTTTGGACAACACTGTTCTACAGATTTCAGACTTTGAGCCACTCAGGATCCCTGACTTATTCTTTCCCTTAGAAATCTCAAACTGTTCTCCGTAGGAAATTTCAGAACAATCGTGAAATTAACTCTTTTTTCCCATATTTAGCCATCTTATTCAATAGATCTGGCCTAAGATTAGTGATTTTTATAATAATGGTGCAGCTCCCTACAATGAACCTTAAAATGTATCTGTTAAAGAGGCAATTATTAGTGTTCTGCTCTAGGGGCTGTGATGTTCATAAAAGAGATTGGAATTGAAAACAATACTAGTGCTGGAAAAAAAACATTTATTTCATATGAATTATGTACATGTTTTGGATTGTAGAACAAGAACAGCAACAAATACTGCTTTTTGAAAAAAAATAGTGGGAGAACTACTGCACTTTGAGATCAGATGAGGGAATAACCTGTAATTTTTCACATATCCACAATTCCACACATTCTTTGCTCTGTCATTTCCCCCCTCCCTCCCCCTGGCTATGTCTGTCTGTTTCTGTTCACACAGGGAAAATCCCAGAGTGCCTCCTGAAGTTACTGCATACCACCTAATAGAATGGCTGGCCTCATATGCATCTTACAGATCTAGCAGCCAGGAGGAGCCCTGGAAATGTTGACTACCTGTATCTTGTGCAGCATTTAGCTTTTAATGATTGTGGCAAGACAGCCCAGATCACTTTTCCCCTCATAGCTCCAGTTCTCTAGGCTTCTAGAGCAACATTCATCCCTTGCTCAGTTCAGCATATGGCATGCAACTTCTAGTTAGGGGACCCCTACACCTTCAGTTCACTTTTTGAATTGTCTAGAGATGTATGGTCCAGGAGTGGCAGATTAACCTCCAAAACAACAAGCTGTGTTTTAGTACAGAGTTTTCTCTGCTTATTAGTAAGATTTTACGGGTCTTACTGGGATTTCAGATTGATGGTAAAGAAGATCTTACTGGCATAAGAATGATAAAGCATACATGTATTATATTGCCATTATAATGTTCCTTTTTCACTGCACCAATTTCATTTTTAAGTATAATATGATCTCCATGTTTATACAGTTGCAGTTCATAGATTCTTTAAATAAATAAAATACAGTACTCTCTTCCTAATATACAGTTCAGATTCTTCTTTCTGTAGGATTTCAATGACATGGAGTGAGAGAGAGCAACATACAGATTTATTCTACCCTAACCATTGTGTTTTAATTTGTTCCCTGCCAGTGATGTCCTCAGGGTGTAGTCAAAAAAGTTAAGATGATGGCCATGATGGTGTATTCAAAGCTCTAAGGTGGAGCTTTGCACTTATCTTCTAGAGACTCTTGGATATCTGTATAGTAGCATTCTTGGCAACTGTATGGAAGCAGTTTGCATTGCTTTCTTATATGATTTTTTAAAAATTGTTACTTCCCAGCCTAGTCTACAGCCTTGGGACTTCCTGGGGAGTCCCCCATTCAGATCCTGTTTTAGCTTTTTTGAGAGCAGCAACGTTGGTTAGTGTGGCTGCTGGTTATTGGCAAAAGCATACCAGAATGTAACCCTGTGACCCACTGTCAAAAATGAGCTCTAGGCCATTAGTAACAATCCTAGATAAATGTATCAGTACTGAAGCCAGTTATTCAACATTTACCTAAAATAATTCCAAGGAAGTTTATATTCCTGAAAGATTTTTCTTTAAAAAAATCATAACAGTTGGAAGATGCTTAGTAAATTAAAACATTTAGGTGAAATTAGAGTTTTTGCCAGGCATTAAAAACAACTACATTGGTGTGAACATTGGCCAGTCTTGAGGAGATGGCCATTGTTAAAGCACACCTTTTCTACAGAACTTTGGGGACAGAAGAGATATCAGACGTAGACCCCTTTGGTTATCAGCTTTTTGAGTGCTCCTTGAGTCCAGGTTTATTTTATTTAACATTTAGTTACATCATTCTGTTGCTTTTGTTACTAACCTTTTTACTCAAAGAGTTTTAAGCCACTCTGAGTTCTTTGGGATTAGAATGGCATACAAACCCAAGTATGTAAGGGAATAAATAAATGAATGGTTCCCCACCTGAAAAGTTCCTTGCCCTCATTATGACCTACTTACTTTGGACAGGACTTGCCCTATTGCCTTTTAGATGTATTTGACTACGGTTCCCATGTGCCAAGGCTGTGCTAATAGGAAATTTGGGGGCTGTTGCCCAACACATCCCGAGGGCAGCTGTGTGGGGAAGCCTGACATAAAGGCATAGACAGGTTGATGTGCCAGATACTGCCTTAAGTCTCCAATCGCCAGACATAAAGGGATTAAACATTAAATTGTTTAGATAATATTGAATATAATCACATTTACTAAGATACAAGCAGAACATTAAACAGTTGTTTCAATTTTTAGTGAGTCATTTATTAGCCAAATATAAGCGAGCCTTTGCTCTTTTCTGTCTGCTCTTCGTGTTTTTTTCTCCACCATCTGTAAATACTGTAGTCCTGAATGCAGGGAAGGCTTTCAAGAAAACTGCCAGTTGT